CAACACATAAAAAAGATATGCTAACTGGAAGAAAGAAAAGTTCAATAAAGTGATTTATAAATACATGGTGTTGGGCTGGGGTTGTGGCTCAGTGGTAAAGCACTTGCCATGCATGCGTGGGGCACTAGGTTTGATCCTCAGCACCACATAAATAAATTACATAACGATATCATGTCCATCTACAACTAAAAATTATAAACAAATAAATAAATACATGGTATTAGTAGTAGTTTTTCAGAAAATGAAGATCATATCTGATATAAATAGCTTGTGCTTTCCCAAGGTTTTCTGAACCACCCCTTCCCATCTGGCAATAGTTTTCTTTCAAAATCCCCTTCTACCACTTGGAGACATTTCATTTTCAGCATCAATGAAAAAGAAATCTACTATGCTCCACTGAACATCACAGTAACCAATGTTAAAAAATTTATCATTAAAAAATTTGGAAACTATATCCATAATTAAATGGTTACGGGAGAACCTCATAATGTTCGAGAGGCTATGACAGTTTAAGCAAAATAAAGGAAAACATTAACTAACTTTTCTAAACCGTCAAAATGGTTTGGATTTGGTCTCAATTTTGGATGAAGATCAGCCAAACCAATTTGACCAATGGAAACCTAAATCAAAATACATAATTGTTAATATTTATATACTTCCAAAACAGCAGCTAAGAAAAAACAGTTACCATTAACAAGCATTTCTGTAGATTAAACAGGCACCTTTAGAGTGGGTTTCAGCTCTGGGAAACAAACCAAAGAACAAACAGAAACATTATAAAGATAATGGTACTCTAAGAGCAAAGATTTCAGGGGTTGACAGTCTCTTTATAATATGCTAAGAGACCATCTGCCTAAAAGATTTAGGTGGCCTCCAGGTGAATCAGCAGCTATCTGCCTCTGATAAAATACACTGAAGTGAAATGGACAAACTATAGAATAATGTATATTCCTAAAACAAACTAAAAGATACAGAGAATTGAATGTTTCTATAGTCACTAAAGAAAGTAAATTAATCATTAAAAGACAAACTCCCACTAAGTAAGCCCAAATAGTTTAATAGTAGGAAAAAATATAAAGAATAAATCTTCCCACTCAGTTCATTTATGAAGTTAGTAGAATATTAATTTACAAGAGGAAATTATAGATGAGTCTCACACATAATAAATGTAAAATGTCCTAAATCAAATATTGCCATATTGAATATAATTAAAAGGTTTGTTTCAAAACACATGGTTAAATTAACATTGAAGAAATCTACCAACATAGCATATTAAAGACTGGAGGAGAAAATGATCATCTCAACAATATATGCAGAAAAAGCATTTAATAAGATTGAAAAACAATGCATAATAAAAAATCTATTTGTAATCCAGAAATAGAACACCCTTCACCTTATAAAAAGTGTCTGTAATAAGCCTTTGCAAACATCATGCTCAATGGTGAGACATTGAAATCATTCTGTCAGTTCATGAACACAACAGCGTTATCTCCATTCCCAACACATACTGCAAGTTTTGGCCAAGTCTGTATGAACATAGGCGTGCACCCACACACACAATATAAACACACTTACAAGGAAGAAATACAATGCCACTGTTTTATTATCAATATTAATTGTCTTCATAGAAAACGCCAAAGTATCTAAATTTTATAAACTATTAAAGAATTTAGAAAGTTTTTTTCTATATTAGATCACTAATACAAAAGCCAACTGCATTTGTGCATACCAGAAATAATGTTGGAAAAAGTAGTTTTAAAAAAGATACATTTAGTTAAATAATTTGACTTCTCTCCAAAATTAATCTATAAAATCAATGAAATTACCTTGAAATCCCATCAAATTTTCTCCCAGAAGTTGAAAAGCTGATTTTAAGATATATAAGGAAAAGAAATGTTCAAGAGTAGCCAAGGAACTGCTGTTGAAGTAAAACTGGTGGGTAAGTAGAGGGCTGAGAAAACTTACCTTCAGATATTAAAAATATAAAGTTATATTAATTAAAACTGTAAAATGATAGTGGAATAAAGAGTTCAGAAAGGCACACACACAGAGAAACCTGTTGTACTGCACAGGTGCCACAGCAGATCAGCAGGGAAAGGCTGATTCAATTAAGAAATATGTAAGAATATTGGAAAAGTAAAATTCTACTTCTAAGATCATACACAAAATTCCAGATAAATTAAAAATTTAAGTGTAAAAATAAAAATATTTTAACGTTTAAAAGAAAATATATGGGAATATGCTAATAATCTCAAAGTTGGGAAAGATTTCTAAAAAATAACACATTAAAAAAGCACTAATCATAAAGAAAAAAATATTAAACATTAAAAATTAATCAGTTTGGTTCACCCAAAAATACTATAAGAAGGCTGAGAAGACAAGACAAAAACCTTAGAGAAAATATTTGTACCACAGAGAGCTAACAAATCATTAACAACCAAAATATTATATAAAGAATTCCCATAAATCAATTAGAAAAAGACAACCCAATAGAAAATGGACAGAGAGAAAAGGTATTTTACATTAAATGGAAAGATAAATGGCTCACAGACATATGAAAAGGCACTCAACCTCTTTGGTAGTTAGAGAAATAAAAATTAAAAGGGAAGGGAGATACCTAAGCATTGGCTAGGACATAGAAGAATGGGACTCCTCAGATCCTGCTGCTGGGAGCATAAACCGATTACTACTCTTCTGGAAAATATTTTGGCATTAGTAAAACTGAATATATGCATACTCCAGGGTCCAAAAATCCCATACTTTGGAATATACCCTAAAAATATCTTAGACGTATATACCAGAAAACATATGAGAATATATTCTCTTACTCACTGGAATCAAAAGTAGATATTAATTCTGAAATGTATGATTAAAAATCTTATAACATCCAAAATTAACATTTATGGAGCACATAAATATTCATTTCCAGGACATCTTAATCATTTACTGCTAAATCCACTAATAAATATCAGCGTTATCCTTTTGTAAACATAGAGACAAAACACATCTGACAGGTCAGTTTTAGATGAAGCATGAATGCCTTTTTGTTCACACTGACAAGTTTATGTCATTTAAACACCAAAGACAATATCAAGTGTTTATCAAAGAAAATCCCTTCTGAAGATTATTTCAATTTAATCCGAATTAAAAGAAAATAAAACTTTTATCCTTATCCTTGAGTGAAGTAACTTGAGTTTTAATATCTTAATCAGAAAATACACTGAAGGAAACAATAATATTTGAAAGAGCCTGATGTCCTGTGGTCTTCCTTAATAACTACCCATTTTCAAGAGACTATAATCTACTCCGCAGAAAGCCTTTTACCAAGGATCTTAATCAGATTCTCAGAAAAGTCACACTTAAAATAAACAATATGCCACTAGATCCAAAACAATGTAGGTATTAGCAGCTATACAAAAGCCTCTATCTGATGAGTCACGTCTAAAATGATGAAAGTGTAAGTCTTTGAAGTGCTTTCTATTCAACCTGGAAAATATATAAAGGTAGGATTTAGCAAGTAGGTTGACTGGGAAACATCCTTGTTTGTCTTTATGCAAACACCAAACTAAGAATGGCAAAAATGAGTCTCTCTTCCTATATTTTAATATTAACTTTTTCTCTGTTTTCTCAAGGTATTTTACTTTCAGCTTCCAAGTCCATAAGAAATTTAGAAGATGACATGGTGTTTAATACATTTCGGATGGGAAAAGCCTTTCAGAAGGAAGATACTGCAGAAAGATCAGTTGTTGCCCCTTCTCTGGAACAGTATAAAAATGATGAGAACAGTTTCATGAATGATGAGGAAAACAAAAATTCAAAGGTGAGTAGCTATGTAACTTGTCTTTTATTGTAACAGAAATGTAGATTATTTTTTTAAATCTTCTGAAAAGAAAAATTGACATTTTTATTTAATAAATAGAAATATATGCAAATAGTGACAATATGCATTAGTAGAATAACTGATGACAATTCATGTAAAACAGGTGGCTCTCTCATCCCAGAGAATATCTTTTATACAAAAGTTCCCCCCCTCCCCCCCGACTAAACTTGTATCTAAGCTATTTTTAAGGAGTCAAAACTAGTGCAGAACATCTTTAAGTTGATCAATAAGGGCATTAAACAATAGTATCATTGCTCCATTCCAAAGAAGACAGCTAAAACACAAATTTTCTCTTCACAGAACACAGGCTACAAACATAATTTTGTGAGTCATGGTCTGCCACTGAATCTGGCTATAAAGCCTTATCTTGCATTAAAGGGATCTGTAGCTTTTCCAGCTGAGAATGGAGTTCAGAATACTGAATCAACACAAGAAAAGAGAGAAATTGGGGATGAAGAAAATTCAGCTAAGTTTCCAATAGGAAGGAGAGATTTTGACAGTGAGTAGTCTTTTAAAATTCAGTTCTTACATCTTAATACCATAAAAAGACCTCTGAATTTAACTGAATTTGGATCTCATTATAACAAAATCAAATAAGACTGATGTTCAATTCCAGTTGACATTAAGTGACTGTCAAAAATGTGGGAATAAGAAGCATTTAGGTATGATAATTTTGGTTTACTCAGAATTAGTTACAGTAGATCCATTCTTATTATTATTATTATTATTTCTTAGTTCTGTGTGATGATTGTAGTACTTTGAGTAATTTAAACTATTTCATTCTTCCTTCAGTGCTCAGGTGCATGCTGGGGAGAGTCTACCGGCCTTGTTGGCAAGTCTGATACCTGTTGGTTCACGTCATCTTTGGGGAAGAAAACAAAACCATTTCATTGCCAGTGGCAAGAAAACCCTTAATGTTCCTATAACTTGTATATTATTTTAAATGTCTGCTTTAAAAGAAAGTAGTGTTAAGACATACCAATAATCTAAATGATGTGCTTTTTCTGTATATTAAACTTTGTGAAAATTCTGCATAATTATGACTCAGTGGTGTTTTTAAACAATGCTTATCACATGAACCTTACGTTCACTTCAAAAAAAAATTTGAAAGCATCACAACTGACACCTTGAGCTTTTATAAATTAAACATGTGACTTTGGTGTACAGCTTTCCATATGCATAAATCTAAAACACATAAAAGACACAATCATAGTCTAAAAAATTGAGTTAATTTTGTCTGGCCAGTGATGAATTTGGCCTTAGAAGTACACTTTTTGCCTTTTGCTACTTTGGTTACTTCGATATCCAATTTATTCTGTGAATCGTTTGATGGTTTAGGTTTCTTAACATTTTTATGTTGAGGTGGTTCATTTCTGTTATCACGGAGAATATTTTCGCCATCCAAATCCACCTGTTTCCTTTTTGAGCTTTTATTTCCTGTCTGGCCACTTGATTTTCTTGATACTTTGTCATTTTCACTTCTGTCCAAATGAACATTTCCAGAACTTGTTGCAATTGTTGATTTTCCAACAGATGATTTTATACCCTCTGTTATGCAAGATGAAAAGGGGAAAGAAATCATATAATGATTCATATTGTAATTTGTGACAATTTTAAAATACATTTTAAAAATGGCTAAAGAATATTAAAAAATTTATGATTTACAATAAAATAATGCTAACCAATTAAATAATTAACAAATATAACTACATTATAACATTAATTTTCATTCTGCCAACCACTTCTCATCCCTATCAATAAATATTTGTTTGAATATATGACATTTAATACTTAAGTAAATTATATGAATTATTTTTTAATACATTTAGTTAAATCAAACTGTCCTATTCCTTTCCATAAATTTGTACTTAGATTTAACCTCTTAAGTAAACTCAGGCCTTAAAAACATAAGCCTTTACATTTCATAGCACTGTGCAAAAATTAATCTGGGTTTATATAAATTAAAACCAAATGGCATACTAGAATCAAATTGTTATTTATTTGTTCAAATAAAGTCAATCACCAGCAAGGTTGTTTTCCATATGAAGAACACATAAAGGTTCTGATGCAGAATTCATGTTATTCCATTTATCCTTGCTTATCATGTAGTCATCTTTATAAGTACAAGCAAACTGCGATCTAATTAATGTTTGAGTCATCTGGTAACAGAAAAAAGAAAAAAAATACACAATTTATACTTTATTTTATGTTTTTATCTAGATAAACACACATTCTATAATGGTTGAGGTATAAAAAAATTTCCCTTAAAAATTCTGTGATTTGGGTCTGGGGTTGTGGCTCACCCAGCACATGTAAGGCACTGGGTTCAATTCTCAGCACTACATAAAAATAAATAAAATAAAGGTATTGTGTCCAACTATAACTATACATGTTTTTTTAAAAAATTCTGTTATTCATTGGAAACTTTTGACCTTTTATGTTTTATAATTTGCAAACTCACTCTTTGCCATGGTTGGCATTTTTTTCTTTCAGTAATATTAGCTTTATGTATATTTCTGATTTTTTTTTAAATACTTGTTAAAAAATCAACTTTAGACTCTTCAGAGGTTTTTGTTACACATTCCTGTGTCTGGGCTGCTGCTTTGGAGAATGAATTTTATTATAAGTGAAAAGAATACTCATATGCATAATCATAGAAAATACAAGTTCTACATTCTAAGAAATAGAGCACAATTCTTTTGGAAAGACAACATATAGAATTCAAAGTAAAGAAACTGAGGAAGGGAGAAATGATAAAACAAAAAAGAGAAATAAGAGAGGTCAAAAGAAGAACAGAAAATAAAAGAGCATGAAAAAAGAAATGGGGAAAGGCATTATCTCGTTTAAGATGTGTATGTGTAGGAAAACAAGAAAGATGATCTAAATGTATCATTCTAAAAAGATTCAAACAATATTTTAATAGTTAAAAATTCAAAATATTGGGGCTGGGATTGTGGCTCAGCAGTAGAGCGTTTGCCTAGCATGGGCGGGACCCAGGTTCTAACCTCAGCACCACATAAAAATAAAGGCATTGTGTTGTGTCCATCTACACCTAAAAAATAAATTAAAAAAAATTTCAAAATATGTTCTTGCATCTATCAGACATAAAATAGGAACTCCTAACTTTATCTTCATAATTTGGAGAAAAATTAGAAAGATTCAATTAAGAATTAGCTTTGAAAATGAAGAAACTTTAAGAATTAAAATAACATTTAAGAATTCAAAAGGACATAGCAAAAAAAGTAGTTTCAGAAATGTATTCTGCAAACATAAAACCACTGGGCTGTTTTAAAGATAGGAATTAATTTCAGAACAAAGTAGCCTATATATGTAATACAAATTTCAAAATTTAAGTTTTTCTGTAACCACTCAGTTATAATGGGAAGATTTCTCCAAATAATTAGAAATCATTTCAAATCCTAAAAACACTTCAAACTATAATAAATACAGTATTCTCGATATTATTTATTGATAATAAATGACTATAAAGTAGATTTATATGTACAGCATATTATATTCAATAATTTATAGTATGTTATATATTCAAAGAGATCAGTGTATCATTCTACTCAGATGTTGCAAAGATAATGGCAGTAAAACCACTGACTATGGTTTAAGAAATTAGAACAGTCTTCTGTTTGGCCGTTTCATAAAGGCAAATTTTGTTAGGATAATAAATTTTCTATTTTTCTGTCCAGTAGGTTTGGGAGAACCTCTTTTTCCCAGATCACTAAAAATTATGTTTTATGTGCTTTAATGAGGCATTAGACAACTGTTGTCGTCTTCCACTTACCCACAAAAATTGCACAAAAAAAATGTACAAGATCAAAAAGTTATGTTTTTTAAGAATGCAAACTAGAGTTGGCTGCTGATAATGAATGGGTCTATGAATACAACTCCTGTTATATTATTCCAACCACAAGATTTCCTATAATACAATAGAAAGTTTTAGGTAGCTCTTTTTGGACATAACCCTATAAATATAGAAGTAAAACAAATTATAAAGCTATTAAAATAAGTTTTATGAAAAAACACATTCTATATTATATTTTATCATATCACTGCTATGTAACATTATCTGTGAATTTTTATTTCCATCTGCAAGACCAGAACTAATCATGGACATTATCTTTTCACATACTTTTTTCATTTCACCAGTTATTGCTTTATAGAGAATTATAAACTATTCCTTACAAAGAGTTACAAAAAGTATGATAAGACCTTACAGGCAAAGAGGTGCTAAGTGACTGTCCTGGATCACTCTCTGAGTGCCTGCTGAGCAAAGGCACCTATAGGTACCTTCTTCCCACTACAAAATCTTCATCAGCAACACCCATAAAACACTCTAAATAAAAATACAATAATTATATTATTTACTACAGACAACTGATATTTTCTCAATCTCATGTTTAGTAAACAGAAATTTCTTCAGCAAGCTTTGTTACTTTTATTAATTAATTTATTAATATACAATCTAAGTAAAAAATGTTTGTTTTCTGTGTACATACAGTCGAAATTGGTGCTACAACTACCTGGATTTCCTCTCTTCAGTTCCCCTGTAGAGTAATGCTGGAGCCCTTAGTGACCATAGGACAGTTCTAGAAAACCACAGTTATGAGGCAATAGATTCTTAAAGTACAGAACAGGTTCAAATGAGGAAAAAAAAATAATCACTTTATGAAAAAACAGCAATTATAAACTTTATTATGAAAAACAGCAATTATAAATATATCAAGATATGAGAAGGAAAACAATAATAGCTCTATGGTGGTGTTGGAAAATTGCATCCAAAAGAAATAATTGAGAGTAGTTATATTAAGGGTTTTTCTTCTTTCTTATAAAAAGTTATACATAGAGAGATTTACTTTTCTCTGTCCTGTACAAATTTTTTTTAAATCAGTTACTGTTTATTAAGTTCCTTATGTGGTAAGAACACAGTATTCAAAAGAGAAATGAGAATGGCTCTTATTAAGTTCCAGCTTTGCAACAGGCACACAGTACACAAAGGAGGTAACTAGGATGTCTTCTATAATTACAAAGACATTCTATTTATAAAATTTGCTGTTGACATAAGGCTGGAAGGAATAAAAAACTGGATAACATACTCAAGATTGAAAAGATTCAGAAGTCTAGAAACCATAAGTAGAAAATAATAAGATGAAAATGGGTGGGAATAAACAAAGTCCTATATTTAGTCCAAAAATATCAATTACATATTTACAGGATGAGGAGAACTTGACTTGAAAACTATGTAGGAAAAAGACCTACAGATTTTAAGTGATCATGAACTTGACTGAAGTCAACAATGTGATGTCCATCTAACAAAGCACCATGATAGTGGCGGGGGGAGCACCTGATTTGTAGTCGAAAGGCCCAGCTTCTAACACTGGCCCTATTACTTATTAGATAGAAATCTTGGATAAGCCATTATACCTCTCACTTTTCCACACAAATAACACCTCACAGTATTGCCAGAATTATATGAAGTAAAAAACATGGATAGACTATATTAGAGTTATAATGAAGATACTGTATAGTTATTATTGTAGTAACATATATGAAGTAGGCATTCCTACAAAATAAGATTTGTTGAATTACATCTCCCAGGTCCAGGCTAATTCTAAAATGAACCTAAGAATGCAGCTAAAAAAAGAACTTATAATCAGTTTTTTCATTTTAATTTTTAAAACAATGCAAGCTACATCGGCTTGTATTTATAACTTAAAAGAGATTGCTTTTTCTTTGTTCATAAAAGTTGGATTTTTCTGCATAAGATTAGTGGCTACATAGAATTAAGATTACTTCCTGTGGCAAATCTTCCAAATCTCTCTGTGTATTTGATTTGGAATCACAAATAAGCAAAACAATTCCCTCTTGAAAGTGCTTTTGAAGTACTAAACAACTAAGAATAATGTCCAGATTCATACATGGCTGTTAAAATCATTTTATGTTCAAGTCACATGAGAAAAACGGATTGAAAGTTTTCCTTTGTAGAGTGATTTCCCCCCTTTGGAAAGATTTCTATCCACAGTAAAATTGCAATGAACTTCAAACTTGCCAAGAATTGAAAAGTCTTTTTGCCACAAGCTCTTTTTAAATTGAAATTATTAGTAGGTTCCCAGTTTGAGGAAAATAGTACTTCACATAGGAAAGCCTGACTCCAGTTAAATTAAGATGAATGAGTCAAAACACAGAAAAGTCACAGCCATTCTGAATTAGCTGCAGTATTAAGAAAATAGAAGTTCTAACCTCTACCATACCAATACGTAGATTCTCAAGTTTGAAAATGGACATTATTCTCAACATACCTATTAACTGAAATAAATATTCAAATTCATCTTTTGATTCTTACATGATCACATTTTCAAAAGCAGAGATTTGGCAACTTTGATGGCATATGAATTTGTACATACTTCAAAACATTCATTCTTTATCTCTCAAATTTCATTTACTTTGCTAAATAGCCAAAAAAAAAAAAAAATCCTGACCTAAATAGTAACATTATCTTTTTGTGATCCTTCATTATAATTATGCTGCCTCTATTTACCCTTTGGAGATAGCATAAACCTAAAATCTTGACACCTGAATACAAATCCCTGCTCTCTTACTAACTAGCTACATGGGAAAACAATGCCTTCTAGAGTTGAGCAAAGATCATCAATACAAGATGTCCAAGACACTTAGTAGATACTCAATAAAATCCAACTTCATTCATTTACCAAAACAAATTCAGTTTTAGTCTAATACAAACATTCCTTCTTCATTCTAATAAATGATGCTTCTCATTCTCTTAGAGTCTTTGCTCAATATCATCTTGTCAAGGAGACCTCTATTTATCATCCTACATAAAATCAGAACACATGCAAAGAGCATTTTCTCCGTAGCCCTCTCCCCATAGCACTGATAGCCTTCTAACATAACATAAAATCTACTTGTTTGTTTTGATTATTATCTGCTTTCCTCAGCTAAAATATAAACTCCATAAAGAGTAAAACCTTTAAAGTTTGGCAACTGGTGGCCCCTCTGGTCCTCCTCTCACCACCTTGTGTTGTATCCCACCACGAGGCCTCAGACATGCCCACCAGGAGACCAGACACCCCTCTTAAGTCCTGCACCAGGCTCCTGGAATCCCTGGGCACTGGACGACATTGGCCTCTTCCTCCAGGTTCAAGAGCCGACTGTTATGGCAAGGGTGATGGGGAGTAGGGTACCCACAACAAGTCTTCTGATGCTATGCCCCCTCAAGTACGAAACAAAGCTAGGTGTGAAGAGGGCATAGCAGTAGACCTAGGCTAAGGCCTTCTCTTTAGTTCTTTTACTTCAGCTGCACAAATATGTGAAGAAGCTTTGTCCACCATAGCAGGGTGTTTTGTCTGCCCTGTTCACAGTTATGTCATCTCCAGTGTCCAGTATCAAATCTGCTATACAGGAGGTGCTGAGGGTTGGCTGAATAAATTCATGAATGAAGAAGTAAAACTAAGATCATAACAAGGGTATGCGAGAAGCCATGAGGGAATAAAAAACATGAGTAAGCAAAAGCTCAGAGTTAGAAAGGCGTATACAGAATAGACTCTGCTCTCTTCAACAGAGACAGAGGCAGCCACACCACACACACCATAACGCACATTCATCCTCTGGACCTGTCCCTCCTCCAGGCTTGTGGGGATGTCTACAGCCTCTGGCCTGGGAGTCTGGGGGTTTGGGTCTGTTTTTCAGAGGTTCTCACACCCTGCTCTCTGACTTCCTACCCCAGTTCATTTTCAAGTGTCCTAAAAAAAAGGAGGGCAGCCATGTGCCTGAGGCAGGTCCCACTCCTCAAGCTGAGTCTCCTTTTCTTATTTATATGCAGTGTTAAGAAATAAACCCAGTGTCTCACACATGCCAGGAACAGGCGCTACTGCTGAGCCCCAGGCCCAGTCCCAGCCCCAGTCTCCTTTTCCAAATAAGACCACACCGTGACTTTAGCCCATACCTCCCATAGCTACAAAATCAAGCATATGTGTCCTGGGTAAAAAGCCTTTCAAGACACCCAAAAAGCTTTGTTGGTAGGCTGGTTCCTTTTTTACTTCAGTAGTGTTCCTTTATGTGGGCCAAAGTCAATCATCAGCTCATATCCAACACTAGCAAATAATACCAGGGGAGAAAATAGCCAACATCGATCTGCTCATCTCCCAAAGACTTTATCCTCTCCAGATGTTTAGTTTATTTACACTTCTTTGCTAACATAGCCCTGCTATGTCCTTAAAAATGTGTTTATGTGATTATACTACAAATACTTATAACAATATAATAAAGAATTGACAAAATAATGATAGAAAACAACAAAATTCAATGATGTGTTCCATAGGCATTAAGTACTAACAACTACTAAGAACCAACAGAAAAACAATAGTTAGTAATAAATTAATGAATTTGAGGTACATAGATGAAATATATTATAATCAAAAGCTTTGGCTGAGCATTTAATCCCAGAGACTCAGGAGGTTGAAGCAGGAGGATTAAAAGTTTGAGGTCAGCCTTGAGATAGCGAGACCCTATCTCAAAATAAAAAAATAAAAGAGGGCTGGGAAAGTGGCTTAAAGCTAAAGCATTCCTGGGTTCAATTGTCATTACCAAAATAAAAAAAAAAAAAAGCTTTGCCAATTGGCCCAAGGAGCAGAAAGGGCATACAAACTATAGTTTTCTTTTTAGTTGTGTCAAGATGAATAATTATTTGATGATTTAAGGATAATTATATATTTTATATTAAAATGTGTTTAAAAAATTAATGATTCTCAGCTTACAACAGTGTCTAATGCATAGTAGATACTCAATAAAAGTATATTATATAATTGAATGAATTAAAACCAAGTTTCTTTAAAAAGAAACAAAGACCAAGAAAATTTTAAATGCTTAAAGAAATACGTTATCAACTACTTATAGACAAATGTTTTGTATGAGACAGTTCAGACTAAATAAAAATATAAAGAGCTGCTCTAGTCAAGAACAATATAAAATATCCTTCCCATGCTGATCTACAATTATTTACATTCTGCCATTATATCTTTATTCAAGTACAATTTTAAATTACATGGTAGTATAGTTGGATCTGGAACGTTTTCCAAAGGCCCATGTGTAAAAGTCTTGGTCCTCAGCTTGGCAATACTGGGAGTAGTGACATAAATGGGGCCTAGTGAGCAGTCTTCAGGTCATTAGGGACATGCCCTTGAAGGAGATAGTAGGACCCTAGCCCCTTCTTCTCCCCTCCTCTCTCCTTCCTCCCTGGCCATGGAGTGAATGGTTTTGTTCTGCCACAGGCTCCCTGCCATTGCCACAGAGTACCCCCACTACAGGCCTATAAGCAACAGGGCCAATCAATTTTGGACTGGAATCTCTGAAGTTTTGAGACAGGTAAGCCTTTTTTCTTTACGTATTGATTATCTCATGTATTTGTAATAGTGATAGAAAGCTAGCACACATAGTCTCTCAAGATTCCATTTAAGATATTAGAAATGCAAATGAGAAGCCCATGTCTTATTTATTTTCCCATTCATTCAACAGATACTTAGTCAATATTTGCAATAACAACTGCTTATTTCTTTTCTTCTTGTAGGTCTAGTGAACTAAATAGCCAAAACAGATTAGTTAAGATTGTAAAAAGGAAAATTTCTGTATGTCAATCCTCATTACTCATTTTCCAATTCATTCTTACTGGGTCATACGCAATGTATATTTACAATATGCTCCTCAACTTTAAATATTTATTTATTCTAAAAACAAAACAATATCATTTTCATGACAGTACACTAAATTGTACCTTATTTTTTTTCTCTTGCATTGACTTATAGATGCGTTCTCTTAGGGGTTTCACTGATGAGTTATTCACTTGTGTGGGAGAGCTATGGAAAAAAAAAAGACAAAAACTTATTGCTATGGTTTCAATGTTTATGTCCCTCCAAAATTTATGTTGACACTTAATCCCCAAAACAACAGAGGTGAACCTACAAAAGTTGAGTGGTGGGACCCATAAAAGGTGATTAGGTCATGAGGGCTCTGCCTTCACAAAGGAATTTAATGACCTTATCAAAAGGCATAAAAGATCCTGTTTGGCCCCTTGGGCCCCTCCACCTTTTTTGCTACATGAACATGCAGTAAGAAGGTGTCATCTGCAAGGAATAGGCCCTCACCTGTGAATACCAATGAGTGTGCTGGCAATTTGAACTTAGATTTCAAGCCTTCAGAATGATGAGAAATAAATATTATTTACAAATGATTCAATGTAAGCTATCTTGTTATATGAATGAAGACTCTCATAAACCAAAGTAATTTACAAGCTAGTTTTCCCTCACTGCTCTACCTAAAAGTGGCTAAAGGATAAAGAACAGCTGAGGCTATATGTTTATAATACTTTGTGTAAGTATCCACACCCCTATTTGAGAATCCTAATAATAATTTGCTTAATTAATTCAATAACTAAATATTTCTTGATCTTCTAAATTTATTTCCAAGGCACTATATTATGCCCTTAAAGGGAATAATGCAACCTTTTCAGGGTAAATGTTGATTCTTTCATTGACTCTATATCCAGGTCTAAGGTCTAACTAAGGGAAATAAGATATCTACATACATAAAAGTAAAAAGAGTAGGGAAAGGAAAACATAGAATTGGAAGGTTAGAGAAGGCAAAATGGAGGAGATCCTGCAGCCTGCTGTGTCAACCTGTATTCCTCAATAAATTAATTCCTTTTTTAGCTTAATAGAGCCAAAACTTGAACCTCTTTGACTCAAAGATCATTATTTATATAAGAGTAAAGGGTAGTTTACCCTAAGAAAAAACAGTAATAACCTTACATTGACCTAAATTCATATACTACATTGTGCTTAATTTTATCATTTTGGTGCAGATAATTAAAATTTTACCTTACTATGGACTGTCTACACAATGACAACTAAAGTGCTAATGTGGAATTCCCTCATAATTGAAACGTGTTTGGCCACATGATTAAAGTACAGGAAAATCTCTTTTTAAAATGGACCCAGGAATTTGGTTTAAACAAATTCTACAAATAGAAAATTTTCCCCCAAAAATGATGTAATTTAATCCAACAGAAAATTAAAATTATCTATACTTCTACCTAAAAGCACATTTTGTTAAATAGAAAAAAGGTAAAAAGAGAGAAAGAGAAAAGAAAGGATCATTGTCTTTATTCTGCTTTCTGAGATTCCAGCACAGTGTCAGTAAAATATTCCTTAGAGAAATTTCCATTGTTAGAATAACATGTGGGCATTTTTAAGTAGACTGTGGAAGAATTATATTGTGCCAAGACAGAAGAACTGTCAAGGAAAGCTAGTAAGGAAGATGAGATGTAACGAATGAGATAACACACTGAATGAAAACCCATGAAGAAGTCACTCTTTAAAGAGAAGAAAAAAGATACTGAGGGAGAGAGCCCCTGAAGCAATCGTGAATGGAGATAAGCAATTTCAAACCTAAAAACAGATCTCTAAAAAGTACCTCCTATAGAAAACAGAAATGATCAAACAGTAGGATGATTCTATGAAATTTTCTACAATGTACTAAATTTAAAATTCGAAATGGTTGTTCTAAAAATCATTAAAATTCCTAGAAGCCTATGTTTACTTAATTAAGAATTTACCCACTTACTGAGTAACCGACTTAATTGCTGTTTAAACTAGAGAGTATCTGCTATAGATGGAAATGTATCCCTCCAAAAAAGATATGTTGAAACCTTAATCCCAGATACAACTGATTTGAAAATAGGGAATTATTTTAGGAAATAATTATAGTTAAATGAGATCATACAGGTAAGGTATGATAGGTAAATTCCTAATCTGTGGCCTTACAAGAAGAGGAAGAGGGCAATCTCTGTACAGGCACTAAGGAAAGGCAATGTGAGCACACAGCAAGAAGGCAATCATCCGTACCCCGAGAGAAAAGCCTTCACCAGAACCAAGAGCTCTGGCGTCCCATGTCACACTTCCAGCCCAAACAGAAAGCAAGTTTCTGATATTTAAGCCCCCCAGTCTATGGCTGTCTAAGTCAAAGAGGACTGAGACACCATCAAGGTCTTATTTAGCATATTTTTCTTTATAAGGTGAGAAAGACCAGAAAATGTCAATTCCAATGTATACATGCCTTTTCCTATTCGCAGGGTGAACAGCAGTCCTTAGAGCTCAGGCCTTGGGCTTTGGAGAAAGAAATCTTTACTTGTTAACTTTGCTTTTTTGGGCTGGCGCTCTCTCTCTCTCTCTCTCTCTCTCTCTCTCTCTCTCTCTCTC